GGAGCTGGTTTAGCAGACAACCTTGCAGATCTTCTCTGTGGTTCATCCTTCACCTTGGCTTTATCACCTTTAGCATCCCCTTCGGCCTTTCTCTTGGGCATGGTGGCGACGGCGGCAGGTCACAGGCGCTAGACACGAGATGCAGCGGCACGCAGCTTTGGGCGGCTCGGGGGTCGTCCTCGCTTCTTCTTCACACTGCTCCGATGGAGGTACTTTTAATCAAAGATAAAAATAGATAGGGACCTGGTCCTGTGCTGGCGCCTGGGTCAGATTGTGGGTGCAACCTCTGAGAAAGCTTTCCTCTTAGCCTGTTGAGAAATTCTTGGAAGCGAGCATGCTTCTGTTTTTAAAATGGAAATCATTGAGAAGATATGATTTATTAACAAAATACTAACTTTAAGTAAATAGTGGGATGCATTTTCTCTTTAAAGTGAGGTATGTATTTATAGACATTCAGTTGTCTTAAATATTCTTTTTATCCTAATTTCAAATAACTAATTTTTACACCTTATAAACCATTTAGTACTTGCCATGCTCCTTGTGTTAAGTTCTATGTACACCTGTTTAATACACGTGAAAAGTAATGCAAACAGAAGTTAGCTGTTTTGTCATGGATCACATGGCTGTAAGTAGCAGACATATTTAGAACTTGGCATGGGCCTACAGAGTCCAGTATCATTGCTCAGTACACTTTGTTTATATACTGTAACTATGTAGACACATAAGCATATAGCTATTATAAACATACTTGGTACTTTAACTGGACATTAAATCCTGATTGCAAATCTGTAATGATGTGTATTGCTTATTATGTTATGATATAATCCAGACAGGTTTTTCTTTCTTTACTATTTGATGTGATTCTGTTTGTTTTAGAGACATTATAAAAGATGTAAAAGTACTAGATTCTCCTCCTTAAGTAATACATGTGTGGAGAGTACCAAGTTTTGCACAGTATGTAAACTGAAAAGTATACATTCTGATAGTGAGGTCCAGTCATTTTGGAAATGAAAAAACCCGATGGCATGTTGTTTTTACTATCGTAGTAGTGACAGTGCATACTAAGGAGGTGGCATGTATCTGGGCTGACCTCAAAGTCAGAATGACCCAGAGGTATGTTTCTTAACTGAGAATGAGTCACTACTTGGTTTTGCCAGTGATTTGATAACAAGCCTTTCTTATGTCACTATCAAGGGATATTTAAGGGATATATATATATATTTTTTTTTTTATTTTTTTTTATTTTAGGAAACAGTCTACAGGGTGTTCAGGGTCTCACTACTGGATCAGACTTGTAGTTATCCACCTGTTTACAACCTCCCAAGAGCTGGGATTACAGGCTCGTGCCACCACGCCCAATCTCAGTTGACATCTCAGGGTGCCCTAGGGCGAAGCCAGCAAGGCAGGCCCAGGGATTGAACCTCCGGCCCCTGCGCCTGCTTGCAGGCACTTAAATTTGCTGAGCTATTTGGCTGGCCCGGGATTTTATATATCTGTTAACAGCAGTTCTTAAATTAAGAAAAAAAAATTTATTCAAGGCAAATTATGTTGAATCCTTAAATACAGTTGCCTTATTGTCCCAGTTCCATTATTTTATTTTTTATCCTAAAGGGTGAGTACCAAATGGCACTCTAAAAAATGGTAGAAGGGGCTGGGGAGATGGCTCAGTGGAGTAAGTGCTTCTCTGGTGAGCACAAGGGCCTGAGTTCAATCCCCAGTTCCACCAAAACAAAAACAAAACAAACAAAAAAACCCCCAAAAAACTAACGTTCAAAACCATGCATTTGGGGCTGGTGAGATGGCTCAGTGGTCTAAAGCATCTACTTAGAACAAGCTCAGCAAAGCATGGGGACCGCGGTTCAATCCCCCAGCACCACATGCCAGCCAGCCCTGCCCCCAGGTGGGCTGAGCTGGCCCCCCCAATAAATAAAAATTTAAAAAAAAATTAAAAAAATAATAAAATAAATGTTAAAAAATAAAAAATGGTAGATAGAAGCATAGATTGAGTTGAAAATAAAAATAACTTGTATTCTACAAATAATCATGAAATTAAAAAATCAAATGATGTTGATGGGATGAAGTATATAGGTTATATTGAATAACAAAGCTGAAAGTTTTCCTGTGAGTGTAATACCTTGTAGATGTTCTGAGATTGCATTTTGCTCCTTCTCCTTGTCAGTTTGTGTAGCACTGTCTTCTGACCTTTGTTGTAGATCTTTTTTGCAGTTATAACCTTAGCACCTACTGAAGTTAAGGTGCAGATCTACAAAGTTTAAATTTATCCAGCTGTGCCTGGCTTGGGTCTGGCTGCTGTGTTCAGGCCCTTCCTGCTGCTGCCCTTGGGGGTGAACCTGTTGTGCCCCTCTGGCAAGATGTTCTGCTCCTGGACTAGCTGGGTGGTTCTGTCCCCTACACTCTCTGCAGGGATTGCAGCTGCAGGGTTTCACCCCAGGCCTGTAGTCCAGGCCTGAGCTGAGTCTGGAGGGGACAAGTTGAAGTAGGGGGGAGAGGCAGCTCTCCCACACACTCACTGGGCCTGGACTAGGACTGGATCTGGGGGTTCCCGGAACGTGACAGAAATTCCTACTCTGTGGGCGGGGTGTGGGGGGGTACTGCGGAGTGGTGGGGGGCATCCCAAGGGGGTGGAAGAGGGTGTCACCCACACTGCGCCTGGGCTGGGACCAGTAGGTCCCGCTGGCACAGGGTAGCCTGAAGCTCTCCCACACACTCACCGGTCCTGTGCTAGGACTGGATCTGGGGGTTCCTAGAACGTGGCAGCCCTTGTAGATATTTTGTAAGTCACTTTTAGGTACTGAGGGAAGGATATTTTTGTACTGTTTTTAAAATGAATAAATGAACTCTCAACATTTTTGTTTGCTCATTTTATATTCACATAGTATAGCAATAAAGTATGGAGTTATTTTAGTAATGCCTTTTAGAATTTATATTTTGTGTGTGGGGAATGGAAAGACTAAAGTGAAAAAATTTCACTTTTTATTGTTAATTTTGATTTATTTTGCCAACACAAATAGATTTATTTATAATGAATCATGTATTTTATAGCATGCTCTTAAGTGTCTGTTACATATGAAATTTTAGTGCTTGAAAAATAAAGAATTTCTTTCCCCCCAGAAACGTGCTAAAGGACAAGTATTATTTGACAGTGTATGTGAACACCTCAATCTCTTGGAAAAGGACTACTTTGGACTTTTGTTTCAGGAAAACCCTGAGCAGAAAGTAAGTGATTTCAGCTTTATTCGTGTCTTTTTAGAAAATGTATTTTTTCTTAACCAGCTTTGTCTCAGTATAATATTTAGCCTTAAAATATCTTACATGTTCATTATGACAAAGTTTTGCTTATTGTAGAAACTTGATAAACATTTTAAAAGATATTAATTTATAGTTAAGGAGAGAAAAAAAGTTACAAAAAGGAAACACCATGGCATACTTGGGGAATTTTAGCCAAACTACCTGCTAGATTTCTTGCTGAATGCCAGGCTCACATGACAATGCCTGCCAGACAGGGCTGGATGAAGAACATAATCGGAAACTGAGGCTGACCAATTACCAAGGCTGGGGATCCTGGCTAACCCAACCTAATAGCAGATTATTGCTAAAATAATTGGATGACATAGATTAAAGAGTGTCAGAGTTGGGGTTTAATTGGGATGAGGATTTAGAGGAGACTAATTTTAGTCAAGGAGAGTCACTGTGAGAACTAGAACATAGGTTTTATAAAGGCATCTTGAGTTGTCATTCACTTTGGCATGGTCAGGACCTTGCAAAGGGCAACTGCACACTCACGCTGCTGCTGGTTCTGACTGTGGTTGCCTGTCTGAGAGGTATGTTTTGCCCAATAAAGAACAGTGGGTCTTGACATTCTTTGGCATAGGGACTCAGTGAGATGGGGAATAGTTAAAAAGAAACGTTTGTGGCATATCATGTTTACATTCCTTGTTTGTAGTTGGTGCATTTATATAACATAATACCTACTTTTAAAAAATCCCCTTTTGCTTCCCTATCTGTCTTGATCTCTTTCCCATTTGAAAGAAATTTATCTTGAGGGAGGGAGGAAGGGAGGGAGAGAGAGAGAACGAACATGGAATCTGTGGTTTCTGCTAGGATTTTTCGCAGGAAGCCATCAATACTTGGTGTTTTGACCCACTCAAGATGGGAGCCTACCTAACAAACCAGTTAGAGGATTTAAAGCTGTGTCTTTACATTTGAGTTTCAAGAAAAGACAAGATTTCTACATAAAAGGTATCTAGGCTGTGCTGCTGAAAGTGTAGTTGGCGGCTCCCAGAACATGGAATGCCGGGCCTCAACCAGACCTGCTGATTTAGCACGGACTTGGCCTGGCTCTTCATGTGCATGCATATGAGAAGCTTTCACCTGGGGAATAAAGAAATGTTCTGTGAGTTTGCAGAGTTACAAGAGTCTGAATATCACACATGCCAAGGGGGGCAAGAGTCTCCTAATAACCCCACATGGTTCATGACAGGGATTCAGGAGCAAGCAGGTGTTCCTGGTAGCTTAGGGAAGAGTTCAGCATTCACATTCTGCATGGAAATTGGGCTGTATGTTCCTTGAGCTTCTTTCTAGTTCTGGCACCCTATAAATACAAGTATTATGATTTGTAACCAAGATGATACTTTTTGTAGATGTATCTATTGTAGAGGATAATTGAAAATGATGATTAAAATAATTAGTGAAAATAAAGATGTAGCAGTTTTTTCCTTCAAGTTCTCACTGTTTTTGAGAACCTGTTGAAAATGTAAGATAATATCACAGGATTTGGCTAAACAGGACTCAGACTTAGAGATGGTAATTGTATTAAAGAGTTTTCTAATTAACTGGTAGATGTGCAGAGCAAAAACATGGCTGTGCAACTATCTGATATGCTGATTTGGCAAAACATTTTTGTAATCTTCTAAGGCAGATTTTTTAAAAAAAATCTTTTTCTTGTGTTGATTCTTTCAGCAGTCTAGTGAATTTGAATGCCACATCTCAGAATAGTGTTTGAACTGTATATATAACTTTAGTAAAATTAAGCTGTAGGACTAGAAGCTAGTAAATAAGCAACATTCTTAAAATATTAATAAAAAATTGAAATAAAATAATAGAGATGTAGGACTGGCCAAATAGCTCAGCGGATTAAAGCACCTGCAAGTGGGTGCAGGGGCCAGGAGTTCGATCCTCAGGCCTGCTGTGCCAGCCCCGCCCCCGGGGCACACTGAGATGGCAATTGAGACTGGGCCTGGTGGCACGTGCCTGTAATCCCAGCTCTCGGGAGGCTGTAAACAGGTGGATCACTACGAGTCGATCTAGCAGTGAGACCCTGAACATCCTGTAGACCTTTCCCTAAAATACAAAATTAAAAATAAAATAAAAAAGTAATAGAGATGTGTTTTAATTAACATATTAACATTAATATCTAGTTTGATGCCTATTGTACTTTCAAAATATTTGTTAGCATAAATGATATTTCAACATCTGCAACTAATGTAATGTGATATGGTAGTATTTTTATTTTTATTTCTGCTGCTGACAGAAAAGTACACCTGATATTAAATAGGTTTTCTTCTTTGCTACATGTAAAATTAATGATAATCCAAATTTCATTTAGAAGTTAGTGAAAATAAAGATGTAGCAGTTTTTTTCAAGATGAATTATAGCCTTCTGACTTTGATTTCTAAGGTGATTTAATAGTTCTGATATTCTAGGACCACATTTTTATTTAGTTTGATTGCACACCTCTTAAGGGATTTCTTGCAGTTTTTGCTGATGGCTTTATTTTACCTGATGTTCATTTATTCAGAAGCTGAATATTTACTGAATTTATACTTTGGCTATGAGTTAGAGTATATAGAGGAACATGAAGAGAAGGAAACCAAACTGAACATTCCTGCTTTTTTGTTGTTGTTGTTTAACAAGTTTTTATTGAATTTCTGTAATCAGTATATGTCATGGTCAGCCTATTAAGTTCTGGGACTGCAGTGGTAAAAAATTAAATGTGATACCTCCCTTTGTGCAAGGTTGAGTCTAGTGGTTAATACAAAGAAGTAATTAAAAAAAAAATCGCCAGATATTGTGCCACATCCCTTGATAGCATAGAGTGGTCCTGGTCCTGGGAAGGACTATGTTAGAGAAGGTTTTGTGAAGAAGTGCTATGTGAAGGTAGTATTTGTTGGCAGCCATGCAGAGGCCCAAAGAAAGAAAGAACACGAATCCTTCAAGAAATACAAAGCTTACTGCATTTGGATTATTAAAGTCTTGGAAGAATAGTGGTGAATGGTAGTTACTGACAGGCTTTTTATTTTTATTTATTTTTTTGAGACAAGGTCTTGCTATGTAGCTCAGGTTGACCTTGAACCACTGTGTAGTCCAGGCTAGCCTTGAACTCTCTACAGCCCTCCTGCTTCACTTTCCCAAATTCTAGGATTATAGGCACGTGCCATCACGCTTGGCTAGTTGCTGAAAGACTTTTAAGCTGAGTAATAATAACCTGATAAAGATGAACATGTCATTCATGAAGGGTGCTACATAACATTTTGGTTAGTGGAGTGATGGCGGGCATTTAAGATTCTGAGCCAGGAACTGGGTCCACAAGCTTCTTCTTTTGCAGCATTGGGGATTGAACTTAGGACCTTTGCTTACCAGCAGGCACTTAGGCTGCTGAGCTATAGCCATGACCTCCACAAGCTTTTCCACTAAAAAGCACAGCAGCATGAAAACCGAACAAGTAGAAGTTCCTGTAGGTGGAGAAGTGCTTTATTTTTTAACAAATCAAGATAAATTTTGCTAAAGTGTGACATAAGTTGTAGCCCCTCTGATTTTTGCTTATACCTTAATGTTTGGGAAACATTAAGAAAATCCCTGTTCTGCTGATCGTGAGTCACTAGCAGCTGTCACTGAGAAACTCTCAGGTTTCTGAATGTCTAGGGGCTGTGGGGGAGCCTGTCCCTATTACATTTCAGCTGACAGTTTTTCGTCCACTCACACATGCTTCCTTATCAGGCAAAAGTTGGAGAGTTTAGTTAGGTACTGCTTTAACATGTATTGCTTTTATTTTAGATTTATTTATTTCGTATTTTAGGGAAGAGTCTATAGGGTGTTCAGGGTCTCACTACATAAATTGGACTTGTAGTGATCTGCCTGTTTACAGCCTCTGAGGAGCTGGGATTACAGGTGTGTATCACCACGCCCAGTCTCAATTGCCATCTCAGGGCACCCCAGGGGTGGGGCCCACACGGCAGGTGTGGGGATGGAATCCCAGGCCCCTGCGCCTGTTTGCAGGCACTTTAATCTGCTGAGCTATTTGGCCGGCCCTTTTTATTCATTTGTAATTGGCAATGTAGAAGAAGATAAATTTGTATTTCTTCATATAAAGTTATAGTAAATCATTTTTACCTTTTATTGTAGAACTTATGATTGTGGGAAGTGATGTTCTATGTTAACTACAGTCTGAGTACTCAGAAGTAATTTTAAAATCCTAATACTATAATATAATTTATTCATTTAAGATTACCACAGTATAGATATATAGTTGCATTCTCTTAATGAATAGAATGGTTTGTTCCAATGGTGTTTGTAAATAGGATCTCAAGTCCGCATCTTGTACAGCAATTAACCACTAAGAAGAATATATGCAGTGTGTTATTTGTTGAAACTGTACTTCCGATTTGATTTGAAACTGTCTCATTGCTGTTTATCAGTAAAATTTTGGAAGAAAAAAAAAGATTACCACAGTATGCAGAGGAAAGAGGCATGAAAGGGTAGATAGCCGTCAGCATGTGTTTATTTAATACTTACAAGTTGCCTAAAACTGCCAAGTACTGGAAGACACAAATAGTGTGGTGTCCCCCAGCCCTTGTGAAGTTGTAATGTGGGGGATGAAGATCTTACTCCTTGATGGGCATGATGATTGCAGCATGGGCGATGAATGGAAGGAGTCACTTGTGCTGCTGCTGCTCCTGCTGCCTTCTCAGTCTTTGCATGGGGTCTAAACTGAGAAGCCACACAAACCTTCAGTGTAACTGGTAACCAGTATGAGGGTGGTAGAAAGTGTCCTGAGAATGACAGTGTAAATTTGGCTGGCTAATGTGTCACCCATGCGCTTAGATCTCTCGAGCTCCACTGACTCCCACCACACTCTCCAGAAACTGTCAGGTAATTTGCACTGGGGATTCGTGCTCCTGTGAGAATAGAGGGTCCACGTGGCCACACAGGTTAGTCCTTGGGCGGGCAGAAGGTGACATTGCTTCTACCATCTTCTGTTGGGACAGAGAAAGGTTTTTATTGCTCTTGTGTAGGAGGCATGCGTGTCACTTCACACTGATGAAGTCAGGCATGTGGGAGGATCTGTGCCAACCAGCATTGTCCCCTATGGTCTCTTTCTCTGTGTTAACAGTCTGAGGGATTTCTTTACAGGTTGGCACCAGTTATCTCTGATTCTGTTTTTCTTGGTGTGGTTATCACTTCATGGGCTTGCCAGTGTCATGCATTTGACCCTCCTTTGCCTGTTCCTCAGCTCCAGTCCAGTCTGGGCCAGAAGCTGAACAAGTATTTTTCTCATTTTGTGCACTCTTCATAGCTGGCCACTTGTGAGCCAGCTGTGTGAGGGACAACAGCTGCAGGGCGGGGAAGCTGAGTGCCAGGCTCTTTTCTGAGGGGAGAATTAGAGTGGCTCCCTAACAAGGCACTAGATGGACCATTGCAGAGTAGCACTAACTGTTCACATCAGTGGTGTCTGCAGCTGGGACACTAGGACTGTGACAGTGAACTTCGCGCCTGTGGTTCTTTATTGAGAGGTTTGAATATAAGCAGTGTCAGAATAGAGTCCTGCACACTTCACCCTTGCTGTCTAGAAAGCAGCTCATGAAATGAAGTAAAATTGGTGGGGTCCAGACCACTCTGCTTTCAAAGCATCCTGCTGTTCCTGATTCTTAACAGGGCAAGGCCATGTTGTGCTGTACATTTCAGTATATTACCATGATAGCAGGCTATTTTTATTTCCTGAGTAACAATACTTTTCTTGCTTTATATATCTGTACAAAATCTGTTTTAGCACAGATACTGTACATTATTTGGGACAGTTGTTAAAATGAATCAAACACTGTAAAGTCATTTCAATCAGTTTATAGTATTTTGGGGGGCCTGGCCTTAGCTCAGTTGTTTAAGTGGCTGCTTCCACAAAGCTGTCAGCCTCAGGTTGCTGTAGTTCGATCCCCACAACACTCCAGCCAGCCAAACCACCCCTCAGGGCATTCAGATTAAAAAAAAAAAAACAAAAAAACCTTATTCCAGTTTATAGTATTTTAAAATGTACTTGTTCTTCAATAGCAGGGTGAATGAACTTTAATGATTTGAATAGAAGTGTATGTAGGACAGCATGTAAATATAGATGAAAACATGTAATACTTTTCTCTTAGGAGTTTTTGCTTGCAACTTTGAAAGATTTAATATCCTTAGATGGTTTGACCTAAGTGCTTCAGATTTTGTCTTTTGTTGTTGTAATGGTTGCCATTTTTCTGAAGCTTTCTCAAAGAGCAGAAATGAGGTTGAAATGAAACAGCTCCTTATGATTGTATTCCCATGAGGAATGAAGTTTAGGAGGCAGAAGGATGTTGCACAAAGGTGAGGAAGTACTGTCTGCAGCTGGGCAGTCCCTCTGCATAGCATACTGTAGCTGTAGGGGGCAGAGGCTGGGAGAGGGGCAGGAGTTGGCTTTAGAAGTGGAGGTGATTGTGCTTGATTGGAGCATGTTAAAATTCAGCTGACAGTTTTTAGTGCACATTGTATCCTTTATGAGTAGAAACCTACTGGGATGAATTCTCAGTTCACTATCCATAGGGGCTGTTTACTGGCACTTTATAGAATGAAGGTTGTATAGAGGTAGACCATGTCTTGTGATTGAAATTTAGTTTTTAACACTACCACACATCCCTGCAAACTCAAAAACAAATCAGTGGTTAAGACAGTGCAATGCTAACAGGTGAAAATGGCTTTAAGTTGAGTTTTATAAAAATGTATTTACATTTAAGTTGTGAAATGTAAAATATTCTATTTTGATTTCTTGAATTTGCTTGTACTGTATCTTTTAAAATTATGCATGTTAGTGAAACATAATGAATTTTTGTTTTGGTGTATTGGTCTGGGATATTTCTGAATGATAACACTTTTTACCATCTTGCAGAACTGGCTGGATCCTGCAAAAGAAATAAAGAGACAACTGCGAAGTGAGTATTTAAATACTCATACTTTGAAATAGTTATTCTTTACATCTATTTGCAACTTCAACAAAACTTACAGGTTATAGACTAGAATAATAAGATGATACTATGGCCCATTCTGTTTTGCAGTTATACCATCAGTGCTAGGTGGTGGTGGTTAATTTTGTCCCTGGTTTAAGGATCTGACCTTTCAGGAGGCTCAGCACTCCCATTCCTTCATTCCTTCAGGTAGCCTCAAGGGCCACTCTCTTTGAAGTAACATCTCACTCCCCTGCACTCAACCCACCAGCCCCTGGAAAGAATATGAGTTTAA